AAAAAAAAAATCAAGTCACAGAATCCAGAGGTGCTGGGAACCTCAAAGCAAGATAAATGAAAAGAAAGTCGCACCCAAGTACATCTTAGTAAAACAGATAAATATCAAAGAAAACAAGACAAAGATGTTAAATGCAGCTACTATGACTGGGGAGGAAAAAAGAAGAGATTTAGCTTACTTCTTGACAGAAACAATAGAAGCTAGAAACCAGTGCAATTGAAGTAATTTTCAGATTTAAGACAAAATAACTATCAACCTAGAACTCTTTGTTCAGCGAAAACAGCATCCAGTAGTAAAGGTGAAGACAGGATGTCTTAAATTCACCAGCAGTAAATACCAATGGGTATTTTTTAAGCAGAAGAAAAATGATTTCAGATGACTGGTTATCGATGCAGGGAGAAACGAAGAGCAATGCATTTCAAAGTCTGTACAAGACCGCAATGTCTGGGAGTTAAAATATATATAAATATGTAGTATTTATTAAAAAATAAATAGTATAAAGGAGTAAATGGAATGAAAATGTCCTAAGGTCCTTATATTATTCCTGAAGATTAATATAACAAATAACATTAAACTGTAATAAATCAAAGATATATTTTGTGATTTCTAGGATTACAAAAGGGTAGTAAAGAAATGTATTTAAGGTCCAAGGTAATAGAAGGAGAAATAAAATATCCAACCACTTTAAAAAAAAAATAGAAACAAACAAACAAAAAACAGGGCAGATGAAAACATTTAATAAGATGAGTTTTAAATCTGAATAAATTAGTAACTATGTTAAGTAAAAACACAATACTTCAATTATAAGTCCAAGAGTACTGAACTGGATAAAACAATCTATATACTTTCTAAAACAATAGTTTTTAAAATGTTGACAGTGAAGGTAAAAATATTAACCAATATTATATTAACAACATAAGCTAATATGTAAGTTGGTTTTAAGGTAAAAGGTATTACTATAATTAAAGGATGCATGCGATCCTTCCATGGTGGCACAATGGGTTAAGTGCAGCACTGTGAATCTAGTGTGGCAGCCTCAGCACGAGTTCAATCCTCACCCTGGAGGTGACCCACATGGCACCGCAGACCTCTCCTGACCCGCCTGCTGCTCCCCTCAGCAGTACACTTTGTCGATCTGCCTGTTCTGCTCCCCACTCTACCTCTGGTGAATCCTCTCACAACCCTTGCACCTCTGTCTGTACCCCAGTTCTGTATGCATAAATAAATAAATCTTTAAAAAAATTAAGGATACATGATAAAATGTTCAATTATGAAGCTAAGATCGACAAAAATCACAAGAAGAGTACAGGTAATTAAGTTAAGGATATAGATTATATGAACATGATTAGCAAACTTGGCTTAGGAGATCTATGTAGAATATTGCATCCAACAACTATGGAATTCGTGTTACCTAAATATTTATGACCCTCTACCTTTAAAGCAAATAATATTGACAATCTTCACCTCATCTTATGTTAGGCATGACCTAAAAGATTTTTTTTGGTTAATGAAAGGTGAGTGGAAGTATGGGGGCTATTTACAATTGCAGCATAAACTAGTCTAGTCTGACCAATAAAGGCAGAAAAAGAGAAGGCCTGTTTTCTCAGCACAGAGATGAGGCCGTCTTGAGAATATGTGTGCCACAGGCCTGGTGAGTTCTCTGTGGCTTAAACTTCAGGGAGGTGGGTGGGAACAGACCTAGCAGGGAGAATAGCTCCCAAGAAGAGCTATGAAGATCGGCTAGAGGCCTGGATTTAACAAGAAGAAATGAGTATTGGTCAGAAGTCAGTTGAGTGTTCACAGCACTGGAGTGAATGAAACAGGGAAAAATGAGCCTATGTGAAAGTAGGGACTCAGGTAGATAGTCGTTCTCAATGAACATGTTACAGGCTTTTGATTCCACACCCGAAAGGTAGCGTTATTAAGAATTTTTGTTTCTTCAGCAATTGCCATGCACACATATAAACATAGGCCAATTTTAAAAACACAAATTAGATCAACCATATTTTATCTGATATTCTGAACATTTTCCCCCAATTAATGGAATCCTTATGGTTGTTTTCAATGTCACCCCAAAGAGATTTCCCTTTTAACTATCATTGTATAATCAGTCTCTACTGACAGGTACTTGGATTGTTTTCACATAATGTTTCAGGATCATCTAGCAAATATTATCCATACAGCTTTTCTTCCTACAGACAATAATATCAGTTTTGTCAACAATTTAAATGGTAAAAAAAAAAAATAGCTGGGGTAATAGGAACACAAAGAGGGAGGAATGGGACGTGACACTTCTGGTTATAGGGTTCCTGGTATCTCCCAATTATTCCCAAAACCAAGCTCAAATACAGTGGGCATTAATACTTGTTAAGTGAAAAAATAGGTGATCAAATGAATCTAGCTCCATGTAGACATTTGTCAGGCCTTCCCAAACCTCATCTTCAACAGGATTTCTCACCCTCAGCACTATGACTTCAGGACCAGATTACTCCTTTGCTGTGGCGGTGGCCTGTGTATAATAGACCGTGTAGCAGCATGCCTGCTTGCGAGCCACTGAGTACCATTAGCACTATCCCAGTTGTGCAACCAAAAATGTCTCCAGAAGTTGCTCAATGTTCTCTGGGGAAAAAAATCATTCCTGGTTAAGAACCACTGGTTTATATTTGAGTAAGGTCAAAGGCCCTTTTTCGAAACAACTGACTACAAGGATTGCTCCTATTTCTCTTCATTCCTCCACGTTTAAAATGGTCTTTGTTCCTGGGTGTCCACAGTCCTTTCATAGAGACTCTTAGATTCCTTATTCTTGGTCCAGACTTCATTACTCTAGGGGCATCTTTCCTGATACCTCCCCCATGAATTAGGTTAATCCTTACTATAGGCTGTCAATCCCCAACACACATTTTCTACTCACCCAATGTCCCTCCTTGGAAATGCTTTATCAAAGTTAAATTCTTAAATTTACTTGGATAAGTATTCATCTTTGTCCTTCACTCAACTCCTTAGAAGTGCCAAAAGTAGGGGTCTGGTTTATAACATGGTTGCTTTTGGCTCACCATTTTTATATTTACTGTCTAAAACCATGTCTGGCACATGATAGATGCTCCATGGGAAAACGGATGGTTAGATGGAGGTGGGTGGGTGGGTGAGCACCTGAGTGTATGGATAGATGAGTGGGAACGCAGATGAGTGGGTGGCTAGGTGGAGGAGTGATGGTAGATCAGTGGATGACTGCTGTTTTCAGTCAGTAGTAGCCAGTCCTAGGGTACAGCACACTCATTTTTGTTCCTGTTCTTTCTAAAAATGACCTCTAAAAGCAATTTAATATACTCACATTTAAAAATAGATGTTAAATATTCATCATTGAGTTCGTATGACATCAAGATAACTAACTTCCAGCATACTTTAAGTATTGTGATTTAAAAATGAAACCACTACATCATTTTTAAGTGTACCTATAAATCTGTCAGTATTATTTCTAACATGCTCTTGAATTTCCTCATAGTATTCTCCATTAAAATTCAAGGAATGGGAAAAATAAAATCTTTAAATGAAAAAAATGCTTAGTTGAGGGAAGCTGAATTAAAGTATGAAAGGAAACTTGTACTTTGGGATTTTTACATTTGGAGCAATGGGCCTCAGTAAGGAAGTATAGGCTTTGTGGTAAAGGAAGGGTTATTATGAACACAGACGTGGCATCAGACAAATCGTGGCATCAGACAAATCATTTGTTTGGAAAGTTTTGACCACCCTTCTGGGAGTAGTGCAGGCAAGTGGCCTGCAGAGGGCAGTGTTGGACAAGTTGTTGAACTTCATGGCCCCTTAGCCTTCAAGAGAGCAGAAAGGTGGTGGATCAGCCTAGACACAATTAGGAGCCAGCATGGGCTGCCCAGTTCAGTGTCTCTGGTGTGTTTGCACTAGCTTGCATTATTATTATATAGAAAACTGGCTCCGAGGTGAATGGAGGCCAGAGACTCTGTCCCATACCTAGAATTAGACCTGGAACTATAAATAGATGAAAACTTTCATCTTTCTCACCTTAAGGAAGGAACTGACTTTGGGAAAGAAATCAAGGAATGAGGTCATGGGTCTGAATCAACTGTAATGCTTTGTTTTACCTCCTATGAAGTGAAAACAATAGTGAAATCTCAGTAATTTATAACTTTAGGAGACAGTGAGGAAAGCCATGGAAAGTTCCTTCTCTGCAGACAGAAGGACTGCACTCTCCTTTCCCAACCTCAGCCTCCTGGCTGTCCATCAGAACAAGATCACCTTCCGCCCTGGATGCTGTGAGGATAAATGAGACAGCATAGGAAAAATACTCAGCACATAAATGACATTTAGTAAGAACTCAGTAACAGTGGCGATAGTGAATTGGCAATTACGCTGAATTGGCATTTTGTAAGGCATGGGTGTTTGAAAACACATTTGAAGAGGAAGAATTAGAGGTGAAATACCAAACTATTGCAGTGCTTTAAGTTTTACAAGCCTAAGAGTTAGAAGCAGAAATAGCCAGGAGAGGAAGGCAGAATCACTGCGTTGGAGGGTTCGGGCCTCACTCCTGGGTAGGGCTCAGTGTGCCTGCCAGGCTGAGAAGGAATGTGCCTCCTCAAGGCTGAGAAGCTGGTCTCTGTGCCTAGAATAATGTGTATGTGCCAGCCATGTATTTCAAAGACCAGACTCAGACATAAAAACACTCTCCTCATCACATTTATCGTATCAGAAGGGATGTGAAAGGGTTGGTAAAACGTCAGTAATCTGGATCAATGGCTCCATATCCTCAAAGAAAGGCTCAGAGCAAGACTCCCACCCTTCTGCCTTATGCGGGGAAAGGTAGCAGGGACTAGTTGAGAAAGAGGAATGGAGTCAACTTGGATGAGATAACTGTCCTTTCACCTGGCAGCTGTCCAGACCCCAAATAGCTTTTGTGTCCAGTCCAAAAATAAGATCACATGAGAGGGGGAGAAATAAATACACAAGTGCTTGTCCTTGGGCTTTCCATGGGTACACCAGCATCAGACACACTGCTGGGGGCCCCAGAAGGAGGCAATTCTCTGCCTCCCTCCCTGGGTTCCAGGAGGCTGAGAACCACCTGCATCAGGGCTGGTGTGCTGTGTGGTGTACACACAGCCTTTCTCGTGAGGTTCCCTGAACTCCACTCACTCGAGAGGGAGCAGAAGAGATAGGTCAAGCAGATCCAGCAGCCTGGACTCCGGGGGGAAAAGAGCATCGCCTCCTTTTGCAGGACACTCCCTTCAGATGGAGAATGGAAACTCCCTTCCTCCTGCAGCAGCCAGTCCGCAGCGGTCCTGGTAGGTCAGTGTGGAAGCTGTAGGCTATTGCAGCTGCCGAGGCCCCAGAGAGAAAGTGCCTCAGAGCCAAAGCCAAGAGGTGAGTGCTTCTATTTCTCAAAGGGGCTCAGATTGCTGTAGACTTTCTATGTGGCTTCATGCTAGCACCCCTTCCCCCCTTCCTCTTCTCCTCCCTGATCTGGTCTGTGGTAGGCTTGAGTCTATGTGATGGATGCTAGAGTAAAGTATTCCTGTTCCCTTCTCTCATACAGAGGTCAAGCCACTTGCAGAAAGAACTAGTTAGATCTAGTTCGGGGCGAGGGGGGGGGGGTGATGGGCTTAAGGAAGCCATTCCTACCAAGTGAATTAGTGTTTGCTGCGATTCAAGATGACTTTTCCCATGTCTTCATCAGACAAATCCTATTACAGGAGAGTTAATGCTTAGTTTTAAAAAGCACTGCTGCATGAAATAGGAAATAAACAAAAGGATGCCAGCCAATTCTTTGTCACTGGGCAAAGGGAAAAAAATAGCAATGAGCTAAGCAGTTTCCTTCCCTCACCCCCTTTTCTGGATTTCTTAGAGCCCTGCAAAATATACTCAACAGATTCAAGGACTCCCCTTTTAGGTTGAGAACAAGAGGAATAAAGAATAAGAGGGATAAAAATCAAAGGTTTGGGGAAGAACTGCTCTAGTAGCAGAAGAAGAGAAACATTTTGCAGAATCTTGGTTTGCCCAGAAGTGCACATCCCCAGGCACTTGGGGGTACACCAGGCATGTGGTGTACACCTGGGCCACTTTAGGGACAGGTGGCCATGTCACCATCACTTGCACACACACGCCATTATTCCCTGAAACACTGCATAAATTATAGAATGCAAATATCTATGCTAAGAAGAAAACGCTAGTGGGAACAAGATAATAACTTGAGTAAGTCAAGATTCTTTTATTGACAATAAACTGACGCTCAGTTTGAAGAGACTTAGAGAAAATTTTTTAAAAAAGGAAATTTGTTTGCTCTTATAACTGAAAAGGCCAGGGTGGGATCTAAGCGCCAGATGATAATATCCTGAATGTCCCTCTCTCCGTTTCTAGTTTTGCCCCTCTATGTTGTTTCATTCCCAGGAAAGTCATCTATCATGGTGGCAAGACAGCAGCTCCAGGCTGACACCCTACTGGCATCACCAACCCTACAAGAACAGGTGCTTCCCTTCTCCAGCAGTTCTATCTAGACCATCAAGGTCACATCTCACTGGACCAATGTGGTCATCATGTCTGTCCCTGCCATGGGGATGACTTACCCCCTCAATTCCCAAACCACAAAGACTGAAAACAGTGAAGGGGTGAGGCCCCACAATCAAACAAGGTGCAAGGCCAAGGAGAAAGGGATTGGACCAGAGAAGGCCATGGCCAAGGGTTGCCACTCTGTGATGCTCTTTCTGCAATGATTTAAGCCTAGGAATCAAACGCCGCCAGCATCACCTCCCCTTGTCCTCTGTATGCCGCCTCGCCCCACACAAATTCATTGATGACAAACACTCTCACAGTAAGGGAAACTATTAACTGAACAAGAAATCAAAGACCCTATGGCATGTCCTTCCTAGAGACCCCTGATAAAGGGAAAGATGCAGAAGGCTTACCTCTCGCTGATTCCCCAGAATGACCACTCACCTGGGCCCCCAGCCTCCTGGCGCTCATATGGGTCAACCCTTCCCCTCACCGCCATAGCCTATTTCTGTCCCCCTCTGCTTTGCTGATGTGAACCCATCTTGCCTTTCATTGGTCAGCCTCATGCTGACCACCACCCCCCCTCGCCCCGCATACCCCAGGCCTTCTCTGCCCAGTACAGCCTTCCCACTACCTCCCTCTCTGAACTGGATGGGCACTCGCAGTATTTATAGCACACCGCTTACCTGTTCTTTAAGACAATGTCTCTCTCACCCAGAATTTTACATCCAAGGTGGGTGAGAGGAGGGATAAATTTCATCCCAGCCCTGTCTGTGGTGATCATGCAGAGTAAGTGTTGACAAAAGTAGATGGCCAGCCTCCTAAGAAAGCTTAGAAGGGGTGCTAGCTTACTTGAGGGCCTTTATTCTGATTTTGAAATGCAGTAACATTGATTGAGCACTAAATGTATGTTGAAGACTCTACAGGCATCATCTCAGCGAACCTGTACAGTGACCCTATCTTAGAGCAAACAGGAAGGTCAGGGGCACAGGGAATTCACCAAGGAGGTATCCCTGGGACTCTAGAGCATGAAGTGTTTTTGATGAAATGAGGTACAGTAGTCTTTGGGGAAACCCTGGAGTGAGGGCTTTAGAATACAAGCTTGCCCCTCTAGCTGTCCCTCTTGGCAGTGACCTTTCTATCACTTGACCAGGGGGAGGATAGCCTGTGGGATTTGGAAAGCACCAATTCTGAGCTCAAAGGAAACCGAACTCTTGAAAAAAGAATGAGTATTTTTTATACTGTCTGTGCCCACTGTTTCCTGCTGATGTGGTCATGTGTGGTACAGGTGGTGCTCGTGGTCTGGAGCCCATTTCTCTGTTGCACACTAACCTGCACATGCGCATTAGTAGCTTCTCAAGAGCAGATACTACTTGGTTTTGTCACCGATGTCACAGAGGGTCAGAGAGCTGGTGTCCTCACAGCCACAGTACAGGGAGGTGAGATGTGTCCCAGACTAGAGTGCAGAGAAGAAGGTTCCAGGGTGGGGATGGAGGACCTGTGAGATCTTTGGGAGCTAAGCTTGCTGGATATTCCATGAGGTAATGATAGAAAAAAAACAAAAGAATTTTATAGGCTAAGTAAAATGATTTGAATAAATGTTTAAGAGAAAAACTGAGAGTAGCTCTAGAGAAGTGAAAATACACATTTATACAAAAACTTGTAGACAAATGTTCACACCAGCATTTATTCATAAGAGCCAAACAGAAGGAACAAGCCAAATGTCCATTAGCTGAAGACTGGGTAAATAAAAAAGAGGCACAGTCATACAATGGACTATTATTCAGAAATAAAAGGGAATGGAATTCTGATGCATGCCACAACACGGGAAAAACTCAGAAACATTAAGCCTTTTAAGGGAAAGAAGTCCGTAACTGTGATTCATTTACATGAAATGGCCAGCACAGGCAAAGCTATAGAAACAGAAAGCAGATTCGCGGTTGCTTGGGCCTGGTGGCAGGGAGGGATGAGCGTCACTGCTGAAGTGGATGGGGTTTCTTTTGGGATGACAAAAATGTTCTAAAATTAGACAGTGGTGATAGTTGCACAACTTTGTGAATATACTAAAACCACTTAATTGTACACTTGAAATGTGAATTACAACTCAATAAAGTCTGAAAACCCAGACCATGGCTAATGAAAGAAGTATCCCAGTGACAGGGCTTCACTTCAGGATGTGGCCTCACCCTGTCGGTTGTGATAAGCTTAGGTCTTGACCCACAGAACTTGGCCACAGGCCACCCAGACATCCAAATAGAAAAGACAGAGATGCAAATGATAGAAGCCCTAGATTTCTTCCCACAGCCTAACTCAGATTAATCTCCCCTCTTTTTTGCATAGATCATTAAAAATTTTAAGGAATCAATCACAAACTTTTATCTTCATGTCTGAGTTTCAACTCACACTTCAAAAAGACTCCCTATTTTAAGATGATAAATCTTTTCCCAAGAGATATTTTTTATATTTTTATTGAGGTATAATTGACATATAACATATTAGTTTCATGTGCATGACATAAAGACTTGATATTTGAATATGTTATTGTAAATCTTACAAACTAATGCTTTCTTCTAAGGTTTGTCTTCTTACACTTAAATCTGATTCATCAGGAATTTAAATAATAACTGGAGATCTAGCTCTATTTTTATTTTATTTTTGCCAAATAACTAGCCAACAATTGATCTGAAGTCTTAAATTTGGGATTAAAATAGACTTGGTTTATTATGTAACTTCCTGAAATTAAATGTAAAAAAAAAGTGTGTGTGTGTCTATGGGTGTGTGTGTGTGTGTGTGTGTGTGTGTGTGTGTGTACACATTTATTGTCCTAAAAAACAGAACTGTAAATCTTGTCAGATCCTCATGGGTTTGTAACTCAGGAAACCCACTGAACACTCTACATTTCTTAAAGGAAGATCCAGGCAGACTGATTCCACTGTTTCACCACGAAGCCGAATCTGAGCAACAGGGCAGTTATTAAACAACTCCAGGAGAAGCAAGAGATGACTCCCAGGGGAAAGTTCTGTGTCACATGTCAGTGAGAATTGCAGCACCTTTGGTTTGATATTTTGCTGACATTACTCTCACTGGCTTCCCTTGGGTCCATAAAACTTCAGGTTTTGAATCATCTGTTGACAAATCAATGGAGCTGATAAGTCATTTTAGCTGACACAACTTGTGGGCCTCCTGTCACAAATAATTTGAGGCTTATAGCCCAATAAATATAAATAAGTAAGTAAATGATAAAATGAAAATAGAAATGCCATTAGAAAGATGGTGGCAAACCCTTCTGAGCAGATTAATGTAGTAAGTATACATACAATGCCCACCATGTGCCAGACACTATCTAGATGCCTGTTTCTCAAAATGTGGTCCCTGGACCAACACTATCAGCATCACCTGGGAACTTGTTACACATGGAACTGTCCAGGCCAGACATACTGAGTTAGGGTCCAGCAATCTGTGCCTTGATCAACGCTTCAGGTGATCATGATGCACATTCAAGCTTGAGAACCAATGTCTAGATACTGGAAATATAGTAATAAAAAGGGACGTTAAATTCCTGCTCACCTCCTGGAATTTACCTTCCAGTGTGTGTCACAGAGCAAAAAGTAATCGAAAATATAAATTTTCAGATATAGTAAGATATATAAGAAGAGAAAAAGCAGGGGGAGTAAAAGGTAGTGATGAGAGGCTGATCCAGAAGTTGTGGTCAGGGAGGAGTTGGTCTGGTATGAGACCAGCATGATAAGAAAAGCAACTGTGCAAAGAAAGAAAGAAAAGAAAAGTGCACTCCACAGCGGGGAAACAGCAGTGTAAAGGCCTTAAGTCAGGCCACACTTGTCCTGTAGCACTGGCACACTGTGAGAAAGGAAGAATGTGCAGGGCTGGACTTGAAAGACAGGTGGTGCTGGCAAGTTTGGTTGTTGCTCTTAGTGCAAAGAAAAGGCACAGAGTTTTGAGTAAATAGAGACATGATCTGATTTACCTTTTAGCAGGATCGCTCTAGAATGAACTTCAGGGGCAGGAAGCAGGGAAGTCAGGAAGATTTTGCAATAATATAGATGAGGAATATTGAGTGCTTAGATGAACTATACCCATGTGCAGAGATCTATTACTGGGGGGGGGGAATAAACATCAATGTAGGGCACAGCATACAGAAAACTGTTTTTGAAGCACACACACACCCAGGCGTACAGAGACGTCTTCCCCCTGAATGGATCCACATAAAAAAATTAAGAGAGATTAACTTCAAGGAGAAGGAGCTCAGGGAGGGTGATTTTATACATTTCTCCATATTACACATTTTTCACATATACAAAGTATTAATTTATTAAATATTTTAAAACCCAAGTTGAGATAAACGATGGGTCATCAACATCACAGAGAGGAAGCATGCCTCTCACAACCTTTTGTCAACATCCTCCCCTGAAGCAGCTGGAGAACCAAGCTAACAAAGTGGGGTAAGCTCCGTGCGCTTACATGACAGTGAGGTTGGGGGGGGTGGTGGCAATACCTCCCCCCCTGAGAACCATCTGACCCCATTTCTGTCCCACAGCTCTGGTGTCATTTGTGGCTGTCAGGTCTCCCTGGGCAACTAATACAATTTCCCCTGAACATCTACTGCATTTCCCTAAGCCCAGTTTGTTCAATGGCCACTCTGTCATCTTGGCAGCAGATCCAGCATGAGACTTGCAGGCCCATCATTTAACTGCATGATTGGCACAAACAGAAACAAATACTTTTCTGGGAGGAGAGAATAACATGCAGCTTCTGATTTCTCCTGTCAGCTGATTAGGATTTGTTGTGTCCAAACAAGGTCAAATGAGATTAGAAAGAAAATGCAGTGCGCCTGGTGTACATTTCACATAACTGCATCACTTAAGTAAACAGGATGAAGGAAGGGGAAATTTTCAAGCAAATATTGAATGTCAGCCTTAAGATTCAAGGACAAGAAGCCAGAGCTTCTATGTTATGCCTGGAGAGAAAAACTGTCTTAATTGGGGACATTCTGAATGAACCCTGCTGCTGCAACCATCCTCAGGTTCTCCCTCAGGTTCTTCTTTCATGTTGCTGTAGTTAAAAAGTAATCGTTTTGGGTTTTTTTCTTAAGATTTATTTATTTATGCATACCAAGCTGGGGTACAGGCCAGAGGTGCAGGGGTGGTGAGAGGATTCACCAGACAGAGTGGAGAGCAGAACAGGCCGACTGATGAAGTACACTGCTGAGGGGAGCAGCGGGCGGGTCAGGAGAGGTCTGCCACGCCAATGTGGGTCACCGCTGGGGCAGGGATCGAATTCATGCTGAAGTGGCTTTAGCTTCGTAGTGCTGCATTTACCCACTGTGCCACCAGGGAGGACCCAAAAGTAACAGTTTTAAGTCTGAGCACAGAATAAGTAAAACCTCAAGACACCACTTTCAACCTTTACTGCATTTCTAAACTCTCTCAGAGGCCGAGAGCCATTTTCTGCAGCAGCAACCACAAACTCCCAAGGAGTGGGTCCACCTCTTAGGACTCAGAAGGGAAAATCTCCTCTCCAGTAGCAGCTACATTTTAGACATGGGAGACTCTGACCTTGGTCTCACCTCTGTGGGTAATCCTACCCAGCATCTACTAGATTTCTGTCCATTTTCTCCCTTTCTTAGACCCACCCTCTAGTGCTAGTAAACCATACACACGATTTTAATCACCACAAGAATGGCTTTCAAAATGGTCTAAAAACTGAGGAAAGTTAAGGTTTCTGTTAGATCCTCTAGATAGGGTCCAATGTATTGTGGATACTTATTAAGAAGCATCAACAGCTATTATTTCCATGGACTATTTCCTGGCCCAGTGCTGAAGGGCTGTTCTAAGGACTGACTTTCAGACGAGGCGGCATCCCTATGGCCTCCCAAGCTAAATGATGATGGGATCAAAAGGCATGAATATTATCATGTCTCGTGACTCAAAGCATTTGTATGGGTATGATTTAAAAGACAAATCCAGATACCCGACATGGAAGTTGAAATAAATATGGAACTTGAGGAATGTTAAAGTGAAAGTGAAATCTAAAAACATTTCAACATGAGGGTAGGGGAGTAGTATTACAATATCTATCTTGAAGAACTGAGGATTCATTATTTCCCAGGATTTGAACAGTTACATTGCTTTCAAACATCCAAATAGGTACTGAAGAAATTAGTTTATGATAGCAACTAGCGATTATATTTGTTAAAAAACTGTGTGCTTGTGTCATTTTAAAACAGCATTTCACAATTGGTTATAATGGAGAAATAAAAATAAAGTAACAACCTGTATTTGCACTGATAGTTTTCAATGTGCCTTCACACACTTTGACACACTTGATGATGATGATGATGTTAACCCCATCAGCTCAAGAAAGATGTGGTTAGCACAGCCTCAATTAGCTCCTTCTGGAGAAGAGGGTCAGGAGCCAGAGGAGCTGACTTGCCCACGAATACCTGACAACACAGAGTGGGAAGGTTAAAGGGTGCTCACCTGAGGCAGGAGACCTGTCTTGAGTCACAAGTAGGTACTTTAACTAGCAGTGTGGTGCAACCTGGGTGGGGCTCTGAGCCACATCACTGTTCTGAGGAGTTAGGATGTTTCCTAACTTTAAAAACTACCACTCCATGTGGTTAAAATGAGTTAATATGCATACTGTATGCAGCATAATTGTTCTCTAAGATTTAGATAAAATTGTTCATAATATTTTGATCTTTTTGTGATAGAAGGCCCTTTGGACTTCTGCAGATACTCAGGAAGAGGATCAATTTTTAAATTGCAAATTCTCACTCTTTTGAGTAACTAAAAGTGGTAGTTCATGGAGATTCCAATTAATAAAGTTTAGAGAAATCAACTTTTTTCAATTCTTGAGTGCCTTTTAGGAGAACTGTCACTCAGATCTTCAGAAGGCTCCCTGAGGGTTCCTGGGTAGGACAGGAGGGTCGCTAGAGAAAAAGTTCCCTGGGGTCTCCTCCATGATGAGTTTGGAGAACAACTTCACCTCTACCTTCCCAAGGAAGGGAGAGACCAGAGAACATTTCTAGTTCTGACAGGTCATTCTCCACTCTATCTGAATCATGAGGTGGGTGGGCCTGTGTGCACACACACACACTCACACTCTGGGCTCAAATGCCTGCCTAAGGAGGAGGGACTCTTCAGCAGTTATAGGAATCTATTAATCATGTTTCTAAATTTGCTCTTCTCAGAGACACCTCCTGATCTGCATCCTTTCAGTCCAGTTTATTTCCCATCTTCTAGCCAAAGCGTTATTTGTACAGGCAGCTTCCTCCCTTCCTTACCCCATCCTGGCCAATGGCATCAAGATGAAGCCATTAAAAGAAGCCCTTCCCTGAAACTGCACTCACCTGAGGGTTCACCTAATTCCACAGGGACAGGTTTGACCACTGGTGAGAAACCACAGAAATATTCTCTTAGCAGCCTCTCCCCAGCCCTAACCTGGAGGGCCATTGCCTTGATCGGCTTTGCAAAATGTCCTTTGCAAGGCTTGGCTCTGGGAACAGCACATACAGACACATACACACACAGTGCCACACACAGACACCCTGTGCAAGTGTGCCAGATGACAGAACAGAAAAGGACTCCCTTTCATCCAGCAGCCTTCTGATTCCAGAGGAGCCACAACCTGCTGTTTCCCTAGTGACTGAGGTCTCAAAATAAACAGGATTCCGTTCAGACGGGCCAGTAGTCCATTCGACTCAGCCATTTGCCCCAAGACAAACCACGCTAAAATAACAGCCAGGGTAGCTGCCACCGCTGTCTGCTGTCTCTGCCTCTTTCCCTGCTGGCCAATAGTTCTGTGTTCCTGGACCTAATGCTGGCTGTGCAGAGCTGGGGGTACTTAGAGCTCTGTGTACATCCCAGTGGGTGGGGTCTATACAGGCAGTTGTTAAAGGCAGGTGCCTTCTGCTGATAAACAAGGCCAGTGCGAGAACTACAAGCTGCATTCTCAGCCCCCAGCCTGCCTCCCTGCTTCCCACACAGCCCTGAGGGACTGGTAGCCGGCTCAGTGGCACAGTCTCTGGAGGCGGACCAGCAACCTGATGTGCATGCCACGGCCCGTCCCCTCTCCCCACACAGAGCTGCAGGACTCGTGAGATTCAAAGCCAGTGTGGGGCTGCTGGGAAAGCAGCTGCAGTGTGGTGACAGTGACAAACGCACAGCAGAGCACTCCGAGTGGATACCCTTTCCCCTCACACAACCAGAAAGGCGCAGTCCTCAGCCTACAAGCTCTTCAGGTAAGAATCAGGGCATCTGTCCTGGGGAATAGAAAGCACGCTGTATTTGGAACTGGGGGAGTGGAGTGGTGGTGTGGTGGTGGTGAGGTGTGTGTGTGTGTGTGTGTGTATAAGTGTGTGTGTGTGTGTGTGTGTGTGTGTGTCCAACTGCAAGTATAAGGCTACTTAGAGAAAAAAACAATCGGGAGAAGTTGAGGCAGTGAAATGTTTTAAGCAGGTAATAATGGAACCAGCTATCTTGCAAGTGAGCACCAGAAGCTCCCCTCTGGCTGGGCTACAGCTGGGTGGCCACAGACTGCCCTGGGGGAGGGTTTGCTAATGACACAGGCATGTAAAAGTCACACCTGGGCCTTAAAGATTGTACAAATAATCATGCACCACTACCCCTTATCTTCACTGCCCCATTGCCAGGCTGTGAGGACTGGAGGGGGCAGGATGTTCTCATTCCTAATGTGCTGGACACAGACCTTGCAGTTCGACAGAAGCCAAAAGCTATGTCCTTGGTGAACCTGGCAGGCAGTATCCTGCTGTGTCACACTCACTCACTCGGACAGCCAGGACTCCAGCTGCCTCCAAAGGCCTGAATGGTGGGTGGGCACTTTAGATTTATCAGCCACTGACGGAGGAGTTTTGGAGTGCCATCAATAAGGTGGTATTCCTACAGCACCCCTGATTTCCAGCATGACTTATCTTGCCTTCTGGTATGTGAGAATTACATCGTCATTCCAGGCCCCCTCCAGATAGACACCAGCAGAGGATCAGTGGGAAAGGCTAGCCCCTGGGCACATTCTCTGGCACTTCTGCTCACCACACCCACGTCACCATTCCATGCCTAAAGTATGCCGGCCTTCTAGAAGGAGCACTAGAAAAATTCAGGCCTCGGAGTGAGAATTCCAGGCATTTAATCAAGAGCCCATTTTTCAGAGACCCAAGAGGAAGCCACTTTATCTCACCTCTCAGGTTCAGCAGAACACAAACATGGTGTTTTCTCCGGCTGTTTAAGTCCACCCCCACTTTTCTGCCTTCCTTCTGCTTCGGTAACCAGCACTTTCCCTTCCATTCAGTACAGGGATGCAATTGTTTGTGATTTTGCTCTGCAAATGCCAGTGGGAGGACACTCACGAGCATCCTGACACAGTGTGAACCAAGGGCTGCAAGAAATAGCCGTGGCTTTTGCAAAGTGTTGTCCTACAAAGGGCTGGCCTGCTGTTTACAGGGGCTGTCTGTGTGAATGAGTGCGGATTTTGGTAGGATCTGAATTCAGTCACAAATCCCCTTTTCTTTTGTTTTCCCTGAGGGTTTCTGAGGAAATTCCCTAGGCAAGGTTGTGTATCTGAAGGCAGGATCACCAAATCTGCTGCTGAGAGCAGTTGGCAGATACAGACGCTCTCCTACTGACCCTTCCTTTTTAAGAATGAGCCCATGACTTTGCACATGGAGTGCTTAATCAAAAGTAAAGCCGATTCACAAAACAGAGTTTCTTATAAAGCTCCCCTCTACCATCCCCAAATCAGGTGTGCCCATATACATATGTAGCTTCCATAAATGGCTTTCTGTTTCCAAGAAGAACATAAGGAAGCAATGGCCAGTTGACTAAGTGGTTTGCTTTTATAGGCCAGAGCACCAACCATGCTGTTTCCATGGTGACCGTAAATTGACATCCACATGCTCCACTGACACCGGGTGAGGGAGTGTCTGATACCAGGACAGAGTGGACTCACTCTGTGGACGAGCTTTCTGAGGACCTTGACTAAACTGTTAAGGACTGTGGAACTGTCAGTCCTGCTGTCGTTAGTTCCGGGATCACACTGAGTGGAAGGCACAACTCCCATCACACCAAAGAGGTGCTACTTGATATGCAACACCTTGACTAAGACTACTGGAATGATGACCTGTTGTCATCTGTGCCACACAAATACCCTGTGTTGGGTAAATCCTTATGCAGGACACATAAGTTGTAAGTGAGTGAGCATTTTTTCTTTCAGTATAGATTGATTGACTCATTAACACATTTCATGGAGTACTGACAAGTGTCCCTTCTTAGATGTGACTGGATCTAGCCAGCTCAACCACAGAGAAGGGAGGGGACAGGCCTAGGTGGGAAGGGACAGAGAATGGGCGCAGGCTTACAGGATGCCCAACTCAACAGGAGGAAAAGGCGCCAAGGTATAGGAACAAGCGCCTGGGCTAGTGGCCTACAGAAGGAGGAAAAGGAAGGGCTAGACATTATTTTGATTCCTAAAATTCACTACTTAGGAGATTTTAAAATAGCATAACATGTTGGCTAAGTGCACAGATTCTGCAGTCAGGCACAAATCTGGGGCTCACATTTAGATTCTGCTACTTATTAGTCCTGTGACCTTGTGCCTCAATAAACTGGGGCAACCAATCTTGTTACTTAACAGATCAAATGAATAACACTTTTTGCAGTGTCTGGTGTGTAGTGAATACTAGGTGAGATTTGCTGCTATTGTTACTATTATTATTGGTGAAAGGTGAGTTCTGGAAAGGCTGCCTGAGTCCATTTGCTCCAAAGTTTAGAGGCATCTATGAGTGACCCTCAGTGCCACCTCTGGGCAGCATGGAGGTGCTTTTGCACTGGCATTGGGTTCTGTGTGTGTCTGAATCTTCAGAAATAAAAGAGTTACGCTGTCAGCCCCCAGTGTTTCTTGAGTCCTTATTATGTACCAGGCACTTGTTTGACTCTACATGTTGACTTTGCTGAACCTTCATAATCGTCCTGTGAAGTGGGGGCTACCTTAGTTGTACTACTCAAGGCGTGGGTGGGTTGGGTCGCTTGTGAGGGTCACATAGTTACCAAGACTGTGGTCTTAACTAATATGCTGAATATTTGGGTGGTGGGAGGTGGGGACACTGGGGATGTCCTGACAGGCAGGTACATTTAGTGACAGGAATAGAGCAATTAGTATCTGAAGACCCTAAAAGCTAAGCTGAAAACACTGTTTGGACTCATGGCCTTTGAGACAAGATACAGGCTCTGGGTACAAAGTGGGTCTCAGGTTTTCCTGAACCAAGAAAAGAGGAAATGATCCTTACAAGGACAAGGATACAGTGAGGTTATTAGGACTGAATCCTTATATCCCTTAGGCCCAAGATCAGAGGTCATCTTGAGCTGAGCTGAGATGCATAAAGGCTGCTGCCTCCAATCACAGGCAGGAAGAATGACAATGAAAAAATTAGTGTCTGAGTGTAGTGATGTTTACAATGATGTAAACCTCATTTGCCAAATGCAATCCCTCTAAATTGTATATTTAAAACTTTAGAGAAATTTCTTCTATGCATAATTATTCAAGATCATCTGACTTTGTCACAGAATTACTGGTGATGGGAACAGGTTGGGGGCAGGGGGGTGGAGGGTGTGGGGGGTGTGGGGAGAAGGGTAGAAGGGATAGCTATTGTGTACCAGGGCTGTGTAAATGAGGGGGTTATTGATGGACAAGATCCTCCAGCACCTGGCGTTTGATTCAGGAATGTTCAAACTTTAAATAAGTACATAAAAACCACAGAACTTGTTTAAAAAAAAATCAGGTTCCTGGATCCTACTCAGAGTGGCCCTGCTTTAGAAGGGTTTGAGGGACCCAGGATTCTCCATTCCCGGGATGGGACCTGGGTGACTCTGCTGCCTCTGATCCACACCATAGTGAAGAAGCCTCCAGAACCATGAGATACAACATTTCTGCTGTTTAAGCCTTTTTATCCGTGCTACTTTGACAGCCCTAGCAAACTAGTAGGTGAGGCACCAGACTCCTAGTGCCCCTCGAGGCCCTGACTTTGGATGATCTTGCTGAAAAGCAAAACATTACACCAAGAACAGCAACTTTTCCTTTTCTTTAATTCTAAGAGGTTTCCTGCTGGCTAAATGGTGTTTGTGATAGCTCATAGGGTGGTCCAAGGCCCAGAAGAGGAAAAAAATGAATGAATAGAAAGGGTAAAGTAGGAGGAAGGAAAACCAGGGAAAGGAAAAAGGGCTGGAGAACAAAGATGTGTGTAGAGAACAGGGAGGGGTATGCATGGGAAGGAATGATATCTGACCACTTCAGCCTTATTTAGCTCATCCTTGGGTCCCCCATGTGCCAGGGAGCACGTTGTGTGGTGGGGGCCACACAGAGCCTGGAACTAGCAAACCCTACCCTCATGAAAGTCAGGAGGCATGTGGCAGAGGGCCCCACCCAGTCTGGGGGTCTGAAAAGCTCTGGGGAGGGTTGACACGGGTTGTGACCTGGAGGATCATCAGGCATCAACTTGGGTGATGGCTGAGTGTACCTAATGGAGGGAGGAGCATGTCACATGGTGTGAGGAATCATGGTATCACCAACAGCAGAGGGAAGGCCCATGTGACCGGATACAGGGACAAGGAGCAGGGAGGGGCCAAACGTGAGGACCATGTTGAGGATTTAGGTCCTTAAACTGAGAGTCGCAGAGAGCAAGAGGAGAAAGTGAACCTACAAAGGGCAAACTCATTACAACAAAAGGAATCTGGGATAGAGAGAGCATGGTTCAGCAAAGGATCAGCCCTGAAGCAAGACTTCAGGCTTCTTAAGCTCATAAAACTGGAGCTGGCTGCATCCCTTTAAAAGAGTGAAGGCCGGCCCTCCCTGGTGGCACAGTGGGTTAAAGCACTGCACTGAGAAGCTAAAGTCACTTCCACATGAGTTCGATTCCTGCCTGCCCTGGAGGTGACCACATGGTGTGGCAGACCTCCCCTGACCCGCCCGCTGCTCCCCTCAGCAGTGTACTTCGTCGATCTGCCTGTTCTGCTCCCCACTCTGTCTCTGGTGAGGCCTCTCGCCACCCCTGAGCCTCTGGCCTGTACCCCAGTTCTGTATGCACAAATAAATAAATCTTTTAAAAAAAAATAAAAAAAGAGTGAAGGCCCAGGCCACTTCCCAAATTGTCCTTGCTATGTTCCTCTCAATACAGCATGTTCTAGGTGTTTGGGAAGGGTATGAATAGGGACAGCCTTCTTCTGCTGGTGAGGT